GCGTAGGCACAGAAGCAGAGATTGGAGTGATGCGACAGGCACAGGACAGGTCCCCCCAGGACCTCCACAAGGGCCAGCCCTGGGGCACCAGAGAAGTGAGAAAATTCACCTCAGGGTTTTCAGTCACCGAGTGTGTGGTACATTCTTCCAGCTGGCTTGGGACCTGGGGTCAGGGAAGGACTCAGTGTTTGCTGACTGAATGAAGGAGCAGAATATGGAGGCTTGCTGGAGCACAGTGGGAACCAGGGGTTCTTCTTCCTCTGAGCTGCCACACGGGCAGGACCCTGGTGGGGGGGAGTCAGGGTGATATCAGCTCCCTTTGCCCCTGTGACCTGCATAGCCTTGGTGCCCCGTGTGACCTGTGGGAAGCTGGTCTGTACCCAGCACCAGCCAAACACAGAACCCATTTCCTTGAGAGCAGTGAAGGCTGAGAAAGTGGGCCCCTGACTAGTTCTAGCCAATGAGACAGGTGGGATTGTGTCAGGGCCCAGGGACAGGGCGCCTTGTTCTGGAGTTTCCTCTGTAGCAGACTTAGGAGGGACTGTGGAGGTCCTGGGCACCCTCAGCCAATTTATTTCTGGATGCTGGTGGCCAGTATTGTGCTCCATTTCAAGCCTATCTCTCTCTCTCTCTCTTTTTTTTTTTTTTTGCGGAACCAGGGATTGAACTCAGGCCCTTGTGCTTGCCAGGCAAGCACTTATTCTACTGAGCTATCTCCCCAGCCCCCTCAAGCCTATCTCTTAAGGGTCTCTCCACCTGCCCACCTACCTGGTGCTGGGATGTAACCCAGGGTCTTCACCTGAAGCTACAATCCCAAACCTTTTAAATTAAATTAAATTAATTTTAAATTTTGAGACATGTTCTTGCTAAGTCAGTATTCTGGGCCAGACTCAAAACTCAAAATCCTCTTGCCTCAGGCTCCTTCGGTGCTGGGATTGCAGGCCTTGACCACTGTGCTTGGCACCAGCAATCTTGAGTATACCCCAGGCTTGCGCCCTGCAGATGCCCAGCTGCATCCTGTTCCCGTGTCAAGTGTGCGTGCTGATATCAGGGTCACCCCCGAGGCCCACTTACCCAAGAATGGCACCTGAGGCCTAAGGTACCCATCAGCCCAGACACTCCCCACGTGGGTGGCCTTGGGTACCCACACAGGAAGGGAGGCTTACAGAGGTCGAAAACCATCCATGGTGGATGGTGAGTGGTAGAATTTAGGTCAGACCATGCTAGCCCAGTACCACAGCACCCTCCCATGCCCTGTATGGGGAAGGATTTTGACTCAGCAAGTGTCTGTTGAATGAATTAGCAAGCCCTAGCAGGATGCCAGGCTTAAGAAACTCAAAGAAAGACTATGGATTTAGAGGTTCCTCCAAGCAGCCCAGGCTTCAGAGACAGAGGGTGAGACTTCCGCTCCAGATGTCTGTCTGCCAGCTGGCTGGGACCCCAGCTGTCCCCAGGGCTCTGCCTACCACTGAACAATGGCGGGAAAGGAAACCAGCCTGAGGCTTTCAAGGGGTACAGGCAAAGGTTGGGGAGGATCCCTGGGGGTGGTGGTGGCCCCAGCCTTTGGCAGTGGAGAGAAGGTCCCTGTATGAAAGCCCCCCATGGGACTCCGTCAGGCCAACTATGATGGTGATGAGCCGCTGTTGCTCACCAGCCTAGTGCTTGTTGCTCTGTGGGAGCTGGGGTCCCCAAGCCTTTAAACAGAGTTATTAAGGAGAAATTTTGTTGTTGTTTTTGTGCTTTAAGACAAGGTCTCACTATGTAGCCCAGACCGTGTTTGCACTCACGGTGATCCTCCTGCCTCAGCCTCTCAAGGGCTGAAATTACAAGCATATGCCACCACGTCTGGCTTAAGAAGGAATTTTAAACAGCAGCTGTGTGGGGCTGGGCTTGTAGCTCTGTGGTGCAGTGCTCGCCTGGCACGAACAAAACAAATCCAAGCCGCACCCGCCATACAAGCTGCCCAGCTCAAGTGTCTAGTCCAGTGGTTTTAGCACAAAGAGCTGTTCAGCCACCACTGTGATCATTTTAGGAGATTTTTCCTACCCCAGAGAGACCCTGACTCCCCTACCCATCACTGTCCATGCCCACACTCTCCTTTTTCCCTGGCAACCCCTTAGCTACTTTCTGTCTCTAAGGCTCTGCCGCTTCTGGGTCTTCCACAGGTGGGCCTCTGATGAGGAGATCGGGGGTTCCGAGAGGCTCCTCTGAGGCAGCTCTGGGTCACACAGCTCAGGAGGGCAGAGCTGGGACCCGACGCCCTGCACTCTCTGGACCGAGGCTCAGTGCAGGAACAGCGTGGAAATGCCTGTCCCCGTGCAGTGGTGAGCGCCTCCCCGATTGACTCTGGTCCTCAGGACACCCTGGACGTCGTGCCCAGGTTCCACCATTTGCAGAGGAGGAGACATGTGCAGGGGTTCTGTGCACCAGGGCTGCCGGTGGGGAGACAAGGGATTTGGGAGAAAGCGCCTGCCACCTACAGACAGGTGAGGGGCCACAAGAGCCGAGGGAGACCCTGCTGACCGAAAGACATCTTTCAGGTTCTCCTCTCCTCTGCTTCTTTCTTTTTATAGGAAAAGGAAAAGAAAGTTCCCTCCACCCTTTGATGTCACTTCCTGACCCATTCATGAGTCTGTGCAGAGCACTCCCACATTAATGCCGGCCCCTGGGCCAGTGCCTGTGGGCCCGGCACCACACAGGCCGGCTCAAGCCCTGCTGTCGCCACCTGTGGACAGGGGCACCTGGAGCTCTAGGATTGCTGGCCGCTGCCCCGGCCTGGGTGTTCTGTGCATGTGGTGTAGTCGGCCCTGGAAAACCAGCATCATTTCATTTCTGCGTCCTCCCAGAACTGGGGCTGATATCTCAAGTACTTTTATTTTAAACATCCAAGTGGAAGAGCCCCAACACTCCCATTCACTGCTCTGGATTCTTTTAATTATTCCTCTGGGGTGGTGGTGGTGGGAGAAGGGTGCGGTCAGTTAAAAATGAGGCAAAAAAAGAATTCAAAACATGAAAAGAGAACAAAGCAAGCTGCTGTCTGTCTGCCCATTACCTCCTACATGCAGATAGGACCTCCAGAAATGCTGGGAGTTGAATTCACAGATGAAAACAAGAGTTTTTGCCAGTGAAGCATGCTCTTCTTCTCCCCCGCCCTTCCCCTCCACTTCCCCTTTTCTTTCTGTAGTGTTAGGTATGGAGCCCGAGGCTTTCACCCTGAGCTGCATCCCCCACCCCTCACCCCTACTCCCTTTTTAGACAGGGTCTTACTGCCCCACCCTCCACTCCTTTTTTCAACAGGGTCTTACCGTGTTTGTAAGTTGCCCAGGCTGGGCTTAAATTTGTGATCCTCCTGCCTCAGCCTCCCAGAGTGCCATAGGCACATGCCACCAGGCCCAGCTCACGGGTTTATTTCTTTCTTTCTTTTTTTTTTTTTTTTTTGGCGGAGCCAGGGATTGAACTCAGGCCCTTACTCTTGCCAGGGAAGCACTTATCCCACTGAGCCATCTCCCTGGCCCCTCACGTGTTTATTTCATTTGATTCCCATGAAACAGCCACGGACCTGCCTCTGCACAATGTCTCTGTCATCCAGTCCCACACTCAGTTTTCTTTTGTCATCAAGAGGTTTGACCTGTTTCTAATGTGCATGTAGGGTTGGTAATGATAAATTATGTATGTGGCTATGCTGAGGTGTTAGGTACATTGTATAACATGTACCAAAGAGAAGCTTGCAAAGATCAATTGAAATAAATACAAACTGAGTTTAAAAAAATAAAAAACAAGGCAAAGAAACTGGATGCTTTGGTCATTTATTCCAGGGACAGCGGCTCCACGGTCCTGAGTGGTTGGGGCCTTAACAAGTCTTTCTGGGCTCCTTAACAACAGCAGTCAGGATATGTGCTGGCTGGCAGGGCACCCCCATTGCCAGGGCTGACAGGTAAGTGTCCACAGCAGACGTATCCTCTGGCTTTGCTCACAGCATTTACAGCGAGAGTGACACTCCCAGATCCAAATATGCCACAGCAACGACGCTGGGAGGTTGAGGCGGGAACGCCACCAGTGAGATCTCATCTCAAAACTAACCAAGCAAACAAAACATCCCACCAAAACTAGCGCATGTGGTGACATACAGGTTGTCACCTCAGCACTCTGCAGGGCCGAGGCAGGGAGATTACAAGTTCAAGCCATTCTGGGCAACTTAGTGACTTATCTAGACTCTGTCTGGAGGTAAAAAATTTCCAAAGGGCGTAGGATGCAGCTCAGGGGCTTCAGTCTCCATTACTACAAAAACAAGCATCCAAAACCAAAACTAAGCCAAAACGACAGAACCAGAAGTGACACTGAAGTGCTAGGACATCTCTGAAGGTGACTCTGAAGCAGGCTGCGATCACAGCAAAGATAATGTCCATCAAAGATGCACGGGAAGGGATAGGACAAACTTCATAAAACACAAGAATGGAAGTATTTTTCCCTAAAGAGCATTTTACATTCTTCTCAGAAAAGGGGCATCGATTATTGTGGCTGTTCCTTGTTCCTTCAGATTTGGCACTTTTTTTTTTTTTTTTTGGTGTAATGGGGGGTTGAACTTAGGCCCTTGCACTTGCCAGGGAAGAGCTTATTCTACTGAGCCATCTCCCCTGTCCCTTGGCACTGTTTGATCACATTGTGCAGAAAGAGAGACGGAGGCTGTGGTGTGTAAGTCTTTGCCTAAGGCAGTAAGAAATGGCCCAGGTCCAGCACAGTTGGACTTCAAGTGCAGGCAGTGAACAGGTGTCGGCGGTAACTGTGAGGCGTGAAATCAATGTGCACATACCCCTGTATGCAGTAGGCGTGCCATTAGTGCCTGTCACTTGGCCAAGGGGCGTGGGGCAGGCGGTCCCTGTGTGGCTGCCGACGTGGGCGGGGCTGGGGTGCAGGCAGGCGGGGTGCAAGAGCCAGGCGCGAGGGGGCGGTGGCCCGGATCACGTGGCGTGGCCGAGGCGAAGCAGAAGTAGAGCGGGCGGCGCAGGGTGCGCTCGGATCTGGAGCCGGAGCCCGGAGGGGGCGCTGCGCGGGGCCCTGAGCCCGACCTCTGCACGCCCAGGTGAGGCGAGGCGGGCGGGGCGCACGCGGTACCCGCGCCCCTGGTACCCGCGCCCTGATGACTGACCCAAGTCCGAGCGCAGCCAGCGCGGGCGGGCGGGCGGGCAGGCAGGCAGGCTGGCTAGGTGGGCACCGTCGGGCTCCGGGCCTCGGTACCGGGTGGGGGCATCGTGGGTCCCAGCCCAGCCGCCGGCCGCTTTCTTACCCGGGGCGGCACCGCCCCGTGGGGCTGGGCAGTTCCTGGGCGCGGGTTTGCGCGGGATGCGGCGGGGTGGGGGCGGCTCCGGGCTGAGAGTCCCGGGCGCCCAAGGCTCCGCCAGCCTCAGGGGTTCGCGCTGGCTGGTCCCTGCCGCCGGTTAGGGCGCTGGCTCTGGGGACTGCACTTCCTGTCTGCACAGGGGGCAGCGGGAGCGCCCTTCCTCCCCGAGACCCCAGCTGCTCGGGAATCCGCGCCCCCGAACTGTACGCACGAGCCGCGCGCGCGGCTGCGTTTTTCTGGTCGCGTTTGGGAACCCAGGAGGCCACTTCCCTCTGGTCTTCACCCCTAAAGAGAGAACTGGGAGAAAGATGGGCCCCGCCGGGGCAGGGAGGTGACGCTGGGGTCAGGCCCCCTCGGCACCTGCTCTCAACAGTGAGGCGCTGCTGGGCGCAGGCGGGTGACGAGGCGTGGGGAAGCAGGTGGCCTCCTCAGTCAGGACCTAATTTTAATTTCAGTTCCGTCTGTGTAGCCCTGGGCGCGGCGCAGACCCCCAGCCCCGTCTCGGTTTCTGGGATGCTGCAGCTCCCCCTCTTCTTTACTTTCTGTCTGGAGAATTCTGCCTGGCCGTGGAAAGGGACCCCCGTCTACCCCCCAGGTCCCGAGGGTCAGCTCACAGGCTCTTCCGTGGGCACAGGCCCTTGTCCTTAGTTTCATTTCTACAGGGATGCCTTCCAGAATTTTGGGGACCATGCCAGCCCCAAGCAGTGACACCTCCTGTCGTTGCAAAGTCTCAGGTGCTTCTGGATGGCAGC